TCAAATATGTCAAGTTATCGCTAGTGATGAGTAAACATACCGTAGTACTAGGTTACAGATAGATCTCCTTGTCACAGATTGTGGAGGTTAGATTCAACTACAAAAATTTCTAATGAGTTTTTTGCTCGATTAGAATTCTTTAACTGCTCCCAAATTTCGTGTGTTGTTCCTGTATAACAAGAAATTCTTACTTTAACAGCGTGGTTGTGTTTAGTTAAAACCAAGAAAGATTTGTCAATTTAATATTTTTTTAAGTGATTATTTCAAAAAATATATATATATTTTTATGACTGATTACTCTTCATTTTCAGATTTCAAATGTTTAAAAATTTTCACAATTCTAGCATATTGCTTTGTAAAGAGGGTGTAAAAATAATATCATTAAAAAATTGTTAGGAATTAATCTAAACCGCCAAAAAAAAGTGTTGAATGGAGAAAAACAATACCGGCCTACTTTGTCAAAACTGGCTCAAAAAGTCATAATAGAGCATTATTTTATAAAGTTGAGTCATAGATCACGGCAGAAGCATTTGACATGGTTGTTTGATCTGAGAAAGAAAGAAAGAGAGGAGAGAAGAAGAGAGGAAAAGAAGAGAAACAGAGAGGGTAAACTGATAAGATTTCTTATTTCCTTTGTTGATGGATAAAACCATAGAAATGGAGCCTTTTAAAGGCTTAAACAAACAGTGTCTACAGTGAGGATCACGCAGCCATTTCAACCATAGCGACGGCCGTGGGATGGTGACAGCAGGATGGTGGTAAGTAAGATAAAAGAAACTCAACCTTAAATGTTCACACAAAAAGACATTTTTGCTCCTTTTTTGAATTTTTTTTCTTTTTACCCTTTTTATCCTGATACACTCTTCTTGAGCCTCAACCTTGTCCTCAAGGTTGATTTGTGAAAACTTTTTCTTCAAGAGCCCCTTCTATAACAATTTCCTCCAAGGCCATTATTTTTTTACTTTAAAAGCAGTATCCTAGGAAGCAACAATCTCTACACTTGTAGTGAGCAGTTGTTGCTCTTTTAGATTCCATCTCTTTCCCGCTTACTTGGAACGATTGTTCATAATTTTTTATTTCAGATTATTCCAAAAATTGGAAAATTTTACCAGAAAAATATGAACTTTAAGATATTTCTATCATAAATTGTTCCTAGAGCAAAGCTTGTTCAAAGGCTTAGTTGAGCAAGTGCAGGTTAAACAGTCTTAACATTAGGTGCAGTTTTGGTTTAAGCTTGCTGATAAAATTAGAATAGAAATAAAAAATTTCTCGGAAAGAGTTTGATATTCATCAATGCGCGTAATTGTTTAAAACGTTTTGATCTTCCATGACTATTTTGATATCCGTCAGCTTGTTAAAGTTTTCAGCAAAATTTTGTCATAAGGCACTCCCAAATCTTCATCAGAGTTCCTCTAGAAAGAAATGTTTTTCAAGCTGTTCCATTTTTGCCAACAATCTCTGGTACCAAATGTCTGCTACATCACCCAAAAAAAAGTGAACCAACCTGTACCTTTTGTCTTTTAGTGTTTCGTGCACCAAAAAGTATGTATCGCATCTCCGAATTTAGGTACAGGGATTATTTCAATCAATATGTGAAATTTCCATCTTTGGTAGGTTGGGCAGTTGACCAAAGAGAGGTGAATCAGTTTGATTCATGGTGAAACTGGGGGTTCAATTTGATTCAGAAAGTAGACCGGTTTGGTTCGGACCAATTCGGTCTAGGCCGGTTGGCTTCGGACCAGTTTGGTCTGGGTCGATTTGGTCTGGACCATTAATTTGATTTCTTAAACTGGTAAAACCAGCTTTAGGGCTCCCTTGAACCCCCAAATCCCATTTTCCCTTTTCTTCTTCCTCATACATGAAGGAGGTGGCATGATCGCCCTTTGTCCGTCTGGTACAATTGCTGTTTGGTTCATCAGGCTCGGCATCCCATGGCGTAGTGCACTATCGTGAATTGTCTCCTTGTGTTTGAAAGGAGGCGACTGGATTCCTTGCAGCCCAACCAGGGTGGCTGTCACCTTGAACATCAGGCGTGGCTTCTCCTGATGCGATGCCCCACCACGTATCAACTCCACCAGATACTTAAATTGTTGCTGCTTTCGTTTTTTTTTTTGTTCTTGCGAACTTCAGCCATGAATTCTGAGAGCTGCTGGTCCAACTCTTTCACTGTTAGCTCTGGCGGTTCTGCCGTGACTACCATTTTTCCCTTGGATTGAGTGCGCAAAGCAACCCCGATGCATCAGTTGGCCAACTCTAATGGCTTTGAGACCATTTCATCAGAAGCCTTTGACATGGCTGTCTGATCTAAGAAAGAAGGAAAGAGAGAAGAGAAAAGAGAGAAGCAGAGAGGAAGATAAGAGAAACAGAGAGGGTAAACTGAGAAATAATTCTTATTTCTTTCTTTAATGGATAAAATCATAGAAAGTAGAGTTTTTTATAGGCTTAAACAGTGTCTGGAATGGGGATCACGCAGCCGTTTTGGTTATAGTAGCAGCCATGGGATGATGACAGCAGGATGATGGTAAATAAGATACTATCTTATTAGAAGCCTTTGACATGGCTATCGGATCTAAAAAAGAAAGAAAGAGAGAAGAGAGAAGAAGAGAGGAAGAGAAGAGAAACATAAAGGGTAAACTGAGTAGTAATTTTTATTTCTTTCTTTAATGGATAAAGTCATAGAAAATAGAGCTTTTTATAGGCTTAAACAATGTCTGCAACGGGGATCATGTTGACGTTTTGGCTATAGCGGCAGCCATGAGATGGTGACAGCAGGATGATGGTAAGTAAGATAAAAGAAACCCTAATCCTAAATGCACACAAAAAGACTTTTTTGCCCATTTTTGAAATTGTCCCCTTTTACCTTTTATATCCTGACAATCACGCGTACGTGAGGCTCACACAGCCTCCTAGCGAGCATTTGGTAATCGATTCAACTAGAGGTGGGGACTATAGGTAGGAGGTCTTTGTGAGACATGGTTATGAGGAAGTACATATTCAGAGAGCCAACAACTTGGAGAATTTGCATCAGTGAGTGGTGCATTTTTGGAAGGAAAATCCTCAGAGGAATTTCCCAGCGGGGTTTCGAGGCTTTGCTAATTGGGGTTTCCTGAGGTCATGGTAGGGGTGGTGTCACTGACAAGCAATGGCTGTTGGGTGCTCTATTGGCAGTTCTTTCTGTGTGAGCTTTTCTTTTTCCCCCGTATGGATTCAGGCTTGGTTTGTTATAGAATTTGGGAATTTAGAGGTGTGAAATTTTTTAGCTTAGGTACCACCTAATGTAGGATAAATTATGATTAACCTTCCTACTTACAGATTTAAGACCAAAAACCTATATATCAGACTTGAGAGTCTTTTAGACATTATATTTAAAAAAGTTTAAGTATCTTATTTAAGAATTTAATTGCATCACATAGTTAAAGTGCTTAGAAATTTTTG